CTGAGCACTCAGCAGGCAGCAGGACCTCCTACACCTCCAAGTTTAACTAAAAATACAACATCAGGGACTCTTCAGCTACATGTTTCATACCTCCAGGAGGCTCTTATATGGCCACCCAGTTAGGTGCACAACACCAGTGAGCCAGACTTCAGTTACCCATCTTCCTGCCACCGCTTGTAATGCCAACCTGCAGTTTACAGACTGGATTCCCATCTCACTGAGTTGCTTTGTAGAGTGGCTTTGGGGTAATGCAAGCTATATTATGAGATATGGAGAACAAGCTGAGTGACTTGTTAGGGTGGTGACACGCAGGTGCCTCACGAAAGAGTCTGCAAAAACAACCCAGGCCAGCACTAGCATGGACAACAGCACTGGCAGACACTGGATACAACCTAGTTAGGCTCAGTTCCTATTAGTGCTGCTTTATATGAAAAGCAAACAGACTCCAGCCATGTTCATTTACAAGCAAGTCACAAATTACTAGCTATCATACACTAAATAAGAAGGGTATTTACAAATTACTGCTCTAGAAACTTGCCTATTTCTGTGGGTATTTTTATGCTCCTCACCTCCCTGAAACGCTCAGATGCTGTAAACCTGAACGACTTGCCTCCCCCACTCCTGGGAGACACGAAGTGTTCCAGGTGAATAGCTGCACTGAGATCACATTTGCCAAAGATCAGAGGGACAGCGGAGAGCCAAAATATTTTTCACGTCTTAGTTCAGCCTCAACCAGGAGGCTTTTCAGCCTACACCAGGGAGAGCAATCTGAAGGATTACACCTTGAGAACTATTCCAATCAAATAAGGCAGCAAAATTGCACGTCTAGCACAGATAACCTCCTTTTTGGCCCCACTCAGCTAAATTCAGGAACTTTAAGACCAACTTATCTGACACCAGAAGAGCCAATGTTAGCAGTACATAGATTTGGACAAGAATATAATCTATTTCAGTTACAAAATCCAGCCTAGAACTGATGTCCCTTAAACTCTAATCTCTTCCACACATTTCTACAGATAAAAAACAGGACCGATGTTTTCTAGCATTTATTTGAACCTAAGCAGGTGAGAAACAGAAAAAGAGAGCAGAGGGAGGAGTTGGAAAAGAATCAAGGAAACATATGAAAAAGAAATACCAATTGAAAAGAAAAGTACAAATGGCACAATACCATGCTTTTTCTTCTTCCATCTGTTTCTCCTTCATCACTTAGCTCCCTTCCAAACCCCATTTCTATTACTCTCTGCTTCATTCCTGGCACTGGCAGGCCTAAGCATTCCTAAATCAAAAGTCAGGCCCTCGCAAGTACTTGACTGACTTATAGATCACAGAAATCTTGGAAGCAGCACCCTTGCTGTGTGCCTGCAGAGTTCACTTCTTCACACAGAGCCTGTGCCCACGAGGAGCTTTGAGTAACAGCTCACACACCAAATATTTCTACAGAAAAGAAAGTTTCTTCCTAGCTGGCCTTGGTCTGGTCTCTCAGCAAGGAGAGCCATCTAAAGCAGTGTTTTGCAGTTCTGCATTTAAACTCTGTCTGTAAAAGGACCACATGCTTACCTATACGAAGCCCTTTACTCTGCTTTCTGATTTTTAAGTTATTAGAATTTGCTTAGATAATGTTTCTCTGCAACCATATGGACTTTTTGCTTTTTACACAGAAGCTGTAGAAAAAACTCATGAGAATTAAAGCAAGCCAGAGTTAGCAACACTCTGGCTTTCTTTCAGAAGAAAGCTTTCTTTAATTGATATTTAGCTCAGAGGCGTGTTGCAAACACTCCAGGCACTGCAGTGTTCCCACAATTCTTCAAAGAGAGCTCATCTGCTGTTTGCAATCCACTTTCCATCTCTGCGACACAGATGGGAACACAAAGGTTAACCTGGATGAGTGGATCAGCTGTTTGGTGGATGGCTCAGAAACCCACTACGAGGATTTGGCATGTAAGCAGCAAATCCCTAAAACATTCTGTTAGCATGGGAATCAAATAAATAACCCCTGCTGGGACCCCTAGGTCAACCGAGCACACAGTTTCAGGCCACAGGGTACATCCTCTTATACATTTTTTTGATAGTTTCATCACTGGAAGGCTATAAAATTGCCTGCTTGGTGATAAGCTACGCTTAAAGCATACGGCAGCCCAAAGACTCCAGAAGCCAGCCATCCTAAGTGCCAGCAACACAAAGCAAAGAAAAACCACATGGAACAAAAGTTACTTAGCAGCCACGAAACAAGCAGGTTATTAGATTTGTGAAGGAGACCTGTAATTACCTACAGCAGTTGTGGGAACCGCTACCACTTGTATCTCCAAAAGAAATTTGACTTTACGAGGCATCACTGGAAGGCTCTAATCAATCCTGAATCTGTTTTGCAAGTCAGTTCAAAGAAAAATTTAAGTGTGGAAACAAATACCGTGTCTGTTCCATGGAAAGAAGAGACTATTCTTTATTTCTACCAGCTTCACATTTCCAGCAGATTATCTTTTAAAAAAGCTTTTAAAATACAGCTGCAATCATCAGGCTTGAGAGGTATTACAGAACAGGGAACCATGCAAAGGGATTAACTCCTAATATCATCCAGCTGAACAGCATGAGCTCATCTGGGTTTAACCTCCTGAATCCACTCCATTTGTAGGACCCAAGCAAAACCAATAAATCACTGCTAACAATCAGGCAATTTTTATTTTAAACATTAAGGATAAATGACTTCCCTTGCATCTCCATTAAGGAACCAAATTTTTTCCTGGAGAGGGCATATTTATCCATTCACTGCTGCTACATTCCCATTAGTGCCAGGCAAATAACTCATAAGGGATCATCTGACACAGCACGTCCCTTTGAGCACAGATTGGCCATGAACAGACAATTTTTTCAATTCATTTATTAGCACAGAGCAAGGACCACAGGGCTGGTGGGGCTGTTTGCAGGTGGAGTGCAATTGCCAGCTGGCACAAGGAGCTTGGGGACAGCATTGCACAGACCACACTTTTGTGCAGTTCCTTGCCTGGCCCAAAGGAGAGCCCTTCCACAAACTGGTTACAGTGTAGAGTGCAGAAGAAAGCCCATCTCCCACTTGTAGTTGGGCTTTTTTTAATTCATAAACATATTGGAGGAGGTGAAACTGCTCTGGAGGCTGGCTCTGAGTAGGGATGGTGAGAGCAGCTACATGGGAACAGCCCTTGGGTTGCAGCGAGCTCCAGGAGCAAGTGAGAGGTCCGAGAAGGGGGTCAGTCTGTGCGGATATATTGCCAAAGAGATGGTGGAGTAGAATGTGAAAGGCAATGGCAGTAGCTCAGGGCACAAGCTTCTTCAGTGAATCTCTAACAAGGAAGATTGCGGCTCTAAGCTGCTCCCCCTCTACCCTCCTGCAACAAAAAACACTGAAGTGAAATGAAACATCCAGGCAGCAGGGCTTGGGAAAGCTTTGTGTTTGGTAGAGACATAGAACATGACCACTGGGACATCCAGGAAAGCTCTTTGCTCTTTTCCAGTGACCACGGAAAAATATCTGCCTGTTACTTGTGTCTGCAGTCAGTCTTCATTGCCCAACAGAGTCAGACACCCATTTCAGAAGCAAGGCTGGGGTCTCCAGTGAAGCAGCAAGCACCAGCTCTCCTTGGGGCAGTCTCTGGGTGCCCACCCTCTGAGGGAGCAGCACTGCCACCCTGGAGGGCACAGGGGGACACAAAGTGCTCTCCTGCCCATACTACAGGAATGGCTGTAGTATGGGCAGGAGAGCCTACCCAGCCAGGAGTGTGGGCAGCTTGGCAACACCTCCTCTTCCCCCAGCCCCAGGCAGGCCCATCAGGGTTGGAAGGATGCTGCACAGTTGGTTTTTGGCACACTTACAGAACACCTGAGTTCTTCCCTCTGTCCTGAGATGCATACTTGTTTTGGGACCTTTCATGTTCCCTGCCTGCACTTGGCTTTGAAATGAGGACTCCCTCAGAAACCAGAGCTGTGCACAGCTCCAGCCCGAGCCATCCAGGACCAACCCTGTCCAAATGACAACCAAAGCTAATTAATCATTTACAGTGTGTGTGATTTACAGCGTAATGCAACTAAGAAGAAACAGGATTCCAAGCTGGATGCACATCAGGGTGCAGTAAATAAAGCACTTCTGGCTGCAGGACCCTGCTCCAATCTCCCTGAACCCCGTGGCAGACCCAGCACATCAGCACAGGTGCTGCGGGCTGCACCTCCTCTGCAGCACTCCTCACCACAGGCTTTGTGGGAGCTTCTTTCCAACATTCATCCTTTAATTATAAACCACAGTAGATATAATTATGTAATTTTTACTGATTAAGCCAATTTGATTGTTTGGGATGATTCAAATAGGCCACGTGATGTTCGTTCTCATGAGGGATGAATGCACAAACACTTGATATGAATATCCATCCTGTGGCATCTGAATTGCAAATATTCATGTGTGGCAATGACATTTGATTGTTTAAAATTGTTTTCTAGAAAAACAGTTGCAAATTTATTAGGAGAAATCGTGTAGCTGTCTGAACAAGCCTGAAAGGAAAGCGGGAAGAGAAATGAACTCAGGAGTCTAATCCCTATTCAGAGGTGTTATTGTACTCAACTGATACTCGGCACTACTTTCATCCTTTCCACCAAATAACACTAAATAACTCCATGAAGAAACATTATCCTACTTTAAGAACATTTCAAAGGCAACAAGCAAAAGGGGCATCTGCCTTCACTTAAGAGCCAGCATTCTGACCCTTCTCTCCCAATGAAGGAGTACACACCCAAAATAAGAAGCATACAGCCAACACAGGCAATTTAAAAATAAGATTCAAAAACCAAAACCAGATCGAGGCTTATCAAGCACTTTTCAAGTAATTCAAATTCACTTGCAGGATCCCTACTTGCTGTGTTTGTGCAGTCCCTGCAAAATTACTTTCAGCTGAGGTAATTTGACAAGTTGAATATCAACTTGAACTCCTCCTTTGCTTTTGATCACAGCACTGCATCTGCTGTCTGGGACTTCACCTTACCTTCAGGTTTCACTGTTGATCCCACTGGAAATCATGCACCTAAGAGCAGAGGCTTGCTCCTGGCCTTTTGGGAAAACCAGCCTGCCAAGGCTGTTGCCACACCTGCATCCCTTCTGTCAGCTGTCTGTGCCCCTTGCTGCCCCAGTGAGAAATATGAACACACAGAGGCCAAGCAGAAGGCTTCAGGTCAGTTCTCCCTCACTGCATGTGCCAAGTTTGATATGGCAGGTTAGCTGCCAGTGCAAAGGATGCTGCCCAGTTATAAGATTAGCTTTGCCAGCCTCAGCTGCCTCTCCCTGCTGCAGCAGGTGGTTGGCCAAACACTGGGATAGACCAAGGATGTGTCAGAAGACACATACCCCACTGAGTACAAGAACCCAAATTGCATGCAACAGGCTTAGCACCCAGATATGGTAGGGGGATCTCTACTTTATAAGAACTTAGCTCTTAACACTAAAGATTGTCTCAGGGTCCCCTTAGCACTTTTGCTAACATCAGGAAGCAGCAAGGACTGGTTGCTCCCTAATGGGCAGGGAAACAGGCACAGCAACAGAGCCAGCAGGGCAGGGGGCTCACCAGCCAGGCCCCCTCCTGCAGTAACTGAGCAAGGCAGACCAGATCAAGCAAGCTCATGGTGATGGGTCAGGTCCTAAGCCAAGCAAGGAAGTCAGCCTGCAGGGCTGGAGCACCACAGTACCACCAGGCATAAACAGAAGCAAGCTGGAAATCAGCACCATACAACACAGCTCCAAGGAGAAGTGAAGGCCCAGGGCTGAGCTTAAATAGAGCTCCTGAGCCCATGAGCAGGGGCTGCAGGTGGAGCCCCCAGGTGGGGCTGGTCAGGGATGTTAAGAGCTACTAGTGGCCTTTGGGCCCTGACAGCACCCAGGAGCATATGGCATGTCAAGCCCTCCTGTACCACGCTAGGCTATGGCATTTGTGCCAGGCTTCAGTGAGAGCCTTCTGGTGAGGACAGCCTAGCAGCCCACTGACAGGGGTTTATTAAAGAGAAATTCACCATCAAGAGGCAAGTCAAATACTTGTCCTGGTATCCTGTGGGCGCAGTGCAGGCTGAGCCATGGCAAGTGCTCTGGGCTCATTACAGAGCATGGTCTAACAGCGCCAGATCTGCTGAGGCCATAGGTGTGCTAGGGGTTCCCAGAACCTGCTTTAGAAACTGCTGGTATACACTCTGAAAGAAAGGAGAACAACTCTGGCTCTATTTCGTGGCCCAAAAAGTAAGAAGAATAACTGACAGGAGACCTGTCAGCAACACAATCTCTGGTGAAACTGGTGCTCCTTAACCCAGCAGGCTGCGCTGATGTTACCTCAGTGCACCAACCTTAGAATTCTTCTTTGTCCACCACCTCCCATCTGTTCGTTGATTTTTATTTCTGCTTAAATAAAAAATGGGGTTATATTGGTTTTCATCATGATTGCGGTGGGGAGGATCTGACCCAACCATGACTGTAAATATGTAAGTGACCAGCAGCTTGAGCTCATCGCAGCTCTTTGTTGCTGCAGAGACCCTGCCAAGGAGTAGTTTCTTTACAAAAGGTGGCAGTCTTGCTGTCCAGCAGAAAGACAAGCTAACTCTTCAGATACCTTGTGTGTCCTTGTGTAATATTGTCTGTGCTGGCTTGAGTTCATCTGGGAATCTCAGAACCGCAGTGATAGAGAGATAATATCAAAGCACGCCAAGCTGTCTCAGACACTGGCTTGTCCTTATCTCCTGGGCAGTGTTATTGTTTTCTACGCTAAAAATTAAGTGAATGTTGATGAAAATTATTGATTGGCAGCACTGCAGATGGATATCCTGTTTTCACTCACAGAGCAGGCCCAGCAAATGAAGATGTGACAAATGTAATGCCAATAGATGCTGCAAGACAGTGACAACTCTTTTCCCATGCTGCCAGGAAGAAACTGCTCTGTATTATAGCAGTTTCATTTCCACACAGAGTGTAAGCAGTACAGTTGCTTAGGTTTTAGTCACTCAATGCAGTAAGACTGCATATCCTCAGTATTTAAAAAGCACTTTCAAAACTATTTAAAGAGTTTATACAAGATCATCCTTTCAGATCTGTCAGGATAAGAAAGATTTTCATCCAGTTTGCATAACCCCCTTGTGCCCTTTTCCATTCCTGGTGTGGCAGCAGGTTGTACACAGCCTCTCACTGTGCTGGTGAGGCATTTGTGTACACTCCCCATCAAAAGTACCAAAACTTGATTATATGAGAGTTACAATGGGGGAGGAGAAGACAGTGGGAGAGAGCTCTTTCATCCGGAGAAAAAGACTTACACTATTTCACAGAGGGCAGTCATAACTCTCAGTCATATTAGCAGATCCCAAAGTTACCCAGAGTTGAAAAGCTCAATTTTCCATTACCAGACATAGGAAAGTGAGATGCCCTGTAATTTAACCCCTCACACATTTTGTATCCTACTCGAACAGTCTGGATGTTTTGAAAAGTGATATTAACTCTTCAGAGTGATGCTAAACTACTGGTATTTTGCAGTTTCAGCTACTCATGGATTTTTTAATAATATTGTAATTCATCTTGTAGATCACTGCTTCCACTTGTACCTTTATATTCCACTTACACCTTTATCAACTTGCATTCTTCTAGAGAAATTATTTCGTCATAGTTCTTCACAGTATTACAAAAAAATAAATGTAGTGGTGTTAAAGAAAGGATCAGCCATTATTATCAGCTCTTATTACCGAGGGCAAGTACCCATTTGACTGTCTGCATTTCTGTCTGTTACCAAAACTGCCCAGAGGCAATTTGTCCTGAACTAAATGATGCCCTTTCAGCCTCTCACTGGGAGCTCTACAAGTCCCACAAAACAATCAACCATTTCTCTCCTGCTCACTTCAGAATGAGAGAAACAAATGTTGGGAACCTACAGCCTGAATTTAAGACTTTGTGGTGCAAGATGCATTCAGGCATGTCCAAAATGAGGATCTTACTTGTGATCAGATCAGATTGCTCATCTGAGGTCAGAAAAAAAAAAAAAAAAAAAAAAAGACCTAAGAGCTGAGGACCTGTTTGAAAACACATCAGAGAAATTCAGGATGTCAGTGAAGGTCAGGGAACTGAGGAACTCTCTTCTTTTTTTTTTTTTTTTTTTTTTGGCATCATCTGACTTTTGAATGGTGGCAATGTGGTTTAGCAGTGAAAAAACACAGAGAATAAATGACAAAAACCTAAATGGACACTCCACAACAAGCTGACAAGCTGTGCAGTACAAATCTGCCAACCGACCAACCCACCTCAGCTAATAATGCATCTCAGATAACATCGAAAAGTGTTCTGAGACAAACCACAGGTAGGAATAGATTAACAGATTATCATTCATTTCTGAGTGCATTCATATACTTGTAAATGTCAGTCTTAAGGAAGCAGTCTTTCCTTCTATTTAATCCACTCTCTTCTGAAAATAAGATCAGTGACTCAACTTCTCTCAGCTGACTCCCCACAGAAGTGCATATTCACAGCACATTGGGTCCCAGTTAGATCCTCACCCCACCCTGCCGCATTTAGCAGCGCAGAAAGGACAAGAGGGTCATGATCTGCAAACAGAACGGTTGATTTAAATGTAGGAGGAGCTGTGTGCTCACATAGTTGAATTCTCAAAACTAATGCATGAGGGAGACAGGCAACCAATGCTCTCATTTATGTCTGCTCAGTGAAACAAGTGGCGTCACTAAGTGTGCAAGCTTTCATTCCCGTCTAAACAGAAGAATTTTTTACCCTCAGTGGAGAGGAGAGCGTGCTTCCCAAAGGCTCCAGGACTGGAGACACAAGAATGAAGAATTCCTCCCTGAACTGCTTAGTGCAGTTGCATATGTTGAATACTGTGTAGTTATGTTGCATATCATTCTTCAGGACTGCTTTGGTAGAGCTGGTATCTCCATTTAAATTGGAAGTGTTGTTATTTCATTCTATTACATTTATTCTTGTTTCTAGTTATGATAACATATCTATTATGCCTAGCATGGCTCTGTTCCAGCATTATAAATTCACCTGTTCTTCAGTTTGCAAGAGCATTGGGTAGGCAGGACGCACAACACAAATTAAATTCCCGTTAATAAGGGTTTCCTCTTTTTCATACCTGTAACAGAGAGGCACACGAGTCACGCTGTTGGATATTTTGGCCTTTGGTTCGTGGCAGCTCTGCAAGGAGGGCATCTCTTCTTCCTAAAATACAAAGACACAGATGGTAAAGCAAGAAGTAGTATTAAAACATGCTGTCTCAGGACTCTCAGGGTCACAGATAGTGTCCTAATGTGTGCTGCAGAAACTCTATATACATTACAATACAATTAAGAAGCCGATACACCATCTCTCACAGGTGCCTGCTGTCTATTGCTGATGGACAGAAATAGAGGCAATGTCACTATGCAGCAGTCATCACTCAGTTTAAGATGTGCTTGATAGCAAAATTTTCAGGGCAGCACATCCTATCAAATTGCAGCCTAACTTCTTTGCATATGCTTCAGAAATTGGTATTTCAATATAGGGAAAAGATAAGCGCTTTCAGCCATGCTATGAATATTATAAGCTATGCTTTTATGTTTCTGTGGAACTATTACCATTATTTCCAGATGGTTATTTCACTGTTTTTCATTTCTGGCACCTATAACAGTTTGTATTTTTGCCAGGGTTTACAAGGATTTCTCAAACTTTCTTTAATCTTCCGACACAGGGTTTAGTGAGAAGGCAGAAGTATTGCATTGCCCAGTGCACAGAAGGGGCAGACCAAAGACACACACCTGCCCAGAATGATAGTCTGAGTTAACAGTGGAGATAACAATAGAAAGAGGGAGAAAACTGGAAACCCCAGGGCTGGGATGAATGTTCTTCACAGGGAAATGTCATCTTCACAAATTTCATTGCAGGGAGTTGTGGACAGGACTGCCCAAAGCTATGTTTTCCTGTGTGTGTATGAGAGAGAGAGAGAACAGGTAGAAAGAATGGGAAAGTGGAAGAACAAGATAAGTCTCAAAGGGAATGTAACCAACACAGCATCAGCTGTCCTCTGTTTTGACCAGCCATCCCAGTTTTCATCCCAGTATTGCCCAGGGAAGCAGAAGCCTGGGGAGGCCATCAAGGCGAAAGCAGGCTTTCTTTCCTCTAAATAAGTAAAAAAAAATCAGCAACAAAAGCCAAACAGATTTTTATTAGACAGAGGTCTATAAGAGGACCTTAAAACCACGCACAGCTTGAAGCCTTTGTATCTAAGTATTTAAAAACTGATATATATTGCTGTTTGTGTAATAAAATGAGGGCACTTCCCTCTCTAGCTCTTGGTCTGCATCAGCAAAAAGAACCTGACAACAGCTGAGCTCTGCATCTGCAGCAGCTCGGCCAATGTTGGCGACTTTACACAGATGAGGTTTATCCTCTACTTTCAGAGAAGGCTCTTAGCGAATCCCACAAGCCACATTTCATGTTTGACCTATCCTAGTGGGCAGCTTCTGCCACTCTTTCCTACCTGCTTCCACTTTCTCCCTCCCTGTTTAACAGGAAGGAATGTGGACGTGCCAGCAGAGTGCAGGCCACGAGCTGGCAGGGGTGGTCGAGGAGCGAAGTTAAGATTTCTGAGCCACTTTTTGCCATCAAAAACCTCTTTGCAGTACGGTTTACAGTGGGGGAGCTCAGATGGCACATGTTTTCACCAAGTTATCACAACAATCTCCCTCTCTAAGCATTAATATCATCTGCACCTGT